AAATAAAATCTTAAAAAAAAAAAGTTAAACGTTAGAAAAAAACAAGGAGAAGAAAAGTCAAAGTTGGGTCTAATTGAGAGTAATACTAGTGAAGTCTGTCTTGCTGGTCAGGAGACACCCACTCCTTGGTTTACTAACAAGTTCCAGTAATGATAACCAGAGCCTCAGTGGTAGGAGTTTGTGAAAGATGAAAATGTGCCAATAGAATCTAGGCCTTTTTCATGAGTAATACAGGTTGAAAACTCCGAGAACCAGATGGAAGGCAGAATTAAGATTCCAAAAGTTTTAATGGGGAGTAACACCTGTAAAAGGAAAAGGGGGTAAAATGAGTTTGGAGCAGGAAGAACTGTCAGACTATGAGGCAGACCTGACCATCTCTGCCAGTCCAATGGGGACTTCCAGAGTAAAAACGCTCATTAGAGTGCCATGTTTCATGGAAATGCCTAAGCTCCCGTACCACTCACCATCTTGCTCAGTCTTTGGCCAGAGCTGAAGAGTGGAGCGGTTGAAGGATGTCAGTGAATCAGACTTCTTGCAGCTAGGTAGCCAGTTCTTCCTTAAAGGGGAACCTCTAAAGCAGCACATCTCTGTATCTGCCAAAGGGGACTTGGCATATCTTACATAGGTTCTTAAATGATAACTGCATTGGTCCTTAGGTTGTTGAATGAATTATTAATATATTTGAGTGGTTATTATGAAAGTTGAATTCAAGAGAATTGTACACCCTCTCCCCCTTCTCCATCTTTGCATTATGAGTTATTTCCCTCTCTGGGAACCTGCAGGCCATTGTTTGCGTCTATCATACTATTTACTACCACACCACCATAAAAAAAAAGTTTATATTTTTCTTCATCTTAGACTGAGCTCCCATAGGGGCAGAAGTGTCTTACTTACTTTTGGACCTGCCCAACACTTGGTCTCTGAAACAAAATAAATCCTCAGAAATTAACTGAATGAATGAGCAAATCTGCCTTTTAATAGTGATGCTTTGCATCCATCCAGTTTGAACTGGATCCACTATATTTATTTGTTTTGCAAGCCACATTTATTTACATTCTCGTTCCAGCAAGTTAGAGTTCATTCACCTTCTGAAAAGATGATCAAATGAAAAGTGATTGAGAGTGAGAAATGGGAGGCTGAGGGTGGGGATTGGAGGAGCTGTAAGAAGGAAGAAACTAAAGGCTCTAAGAGACAGAATAAATTAAAGGTGACGAGAGAAAAGAAAAAAAAAATTAAAGCTGTCAGATAACAGAGGTCAACGAAGAAGAAAAAGCAGGGCAGGAGAATAAAAAGAATAAAAAGGAGACAGAAGGGAAAATAAAGTAGAGCAATGAAGGGGTGTGGGGAGTCAGGCGCAGTGCAGACCTGCCTAAGGAAGTATCCACGAGTCAAAGCCTTACCAACAGCTGTTACCATAATGGGAACTGACATATAAAGAGAGGGCAAGTCTACTTTAATTATTTAAACGGCATTATCCATGTCCAGTGGGGGTAGGGGAGGTAAATAGAATAGGATTGGTGACCTACCTCCTTCCATAGGCTGAAAGGAGAAAAAGATTTACAAAGCTTTGCTAGGAATTAGAGGCAGAAGCTGTTTCTTCCCCAGTTGACTTCACAAGATTCCCACATATTCCTGTTCACCAAGACCTTTTAAAGGGGACCGGTACTGCTCTAGTGGGGGCAACTAGAATCAAACGTTGGTTCTTTACTTTGAATTGAGCCAAGAATAGGTTTACTCACCTCCTCCTTTTGGTCTTCCAGCCAGCCAGCCAGTCTCACATCAGGAGTCTTAAATGGTGTAGCAGGAAACAAGCACTGTCCCTGATCACTGGGTTCCTTAATCCAAGTTTGCCACTAATTGGCTGAGTGACTTTGGGCAAACCATTTTACCAGCCCCATCCATGTAGCACTAACATTCAGTCACATTATAAAAAAATTCTGGGGACTGTTCTCTAAAAAAACAAGGTCTTAGAGTCAAATCTAAACCTCACCAAGTTGTGGAGAGACAAGGTAAAAAATGTATATGGTTCATTTCACACCGCCACTCCTCACGTACTTCCTCTGCTAAGAATTTCCTTTAAATTATCCCGCTGGAAGAAATTATTAGTGTTGAATTACTTTTTTTCCTGTTTATAACATCAGATCTCAAGGATCATAAAGATTAATTCATCTTGGTTCTGCAGATTAACTGATGTCAGGTAGGCTAGCCTGGGGTTCAGGAAAGACAAAGAAACAGCTTCTAACCTCCAACAAAACAAACAAACAAAAAAAGCCTGGTGGTGGAAAGTTCTAAGCAAAGAAAAAATCTAGACAATGACTGCACACAATGGACAAATCCTTTACTTTTTGAGAACATAAACTCCATTTCCACAGGGAAATTACATTCACTGGAGGCTGTTTTAGGACAAGGCTGAATAAATTAAATATTTCAACACCATATGTTCAGCTTTGGCAGGAGATGTAGGTGGGAAGGGAATCTCAATGTTAGGGAATGCCCATATCACACCCCAGCTGGCTATTTAATCATGAAATAAGGAAAAGCACACAAATATTTGGTTAAAACACTTTTAATGAAAAGGGAAAGACACTAGTATCTCCCTTGTCTGCTCTTCACATTTTACTATGTTAGGAAGCTCTGGAGCCTATACCTTTGGAGGAGAAACCATCATTCAAGTCAGTCAGTAGCAGAACTCTCACTCTCTCCTCCTCAAAACTCCTGTTCCAAATGATCCTATGTTAAGAGTAAATACTACATCTCATTACAAGACGGAGAGGCAGGGAGAACACCACCTAGAGCTCGTCTCCCAAAGTCTGGGACTCTAAGACCCAGACAGTGGCAAAGACGTAAGCCCTGGTCCATAGACAGGCAAAATGGGGGAGGAAATAGGCCTTGAGAAAGGAAGACAAGGAAAATCCAAGGGGCCAGGGAATAAAGGAGGGAGTTATCTAAAACTAGAAGCACACTAGTGCTAGGAAATCCCCTATGACCTGTGGTGCAGTGCTGCACACCAAGTCACTAATAGTCCAAAAGAACATTCATGAGACCCATCCAGTCAAGAATTGGAGGTCCCCTCCCTCACACCATGCCCTTTTCTTAATCTCATAGGTTCCCAGCAAGCCCTATGCTTTAGCAACACTCTTTAACTCTCCATCATTACTCTTCCAACCCCCCTCACCAATAATGCTTCTTAAAGATATGAACTTCGCAGTTCCCAAAATATTCCACAGGAGACCTGTTGGCAAGACATCTGCTTGTTTCCTAACTTTGAGAGGCTATGATGAAGGAATAGAAGCTGGAGGTGTCTTGGCACATTGATCAGCCAACACCTTCGCCTGACCGGGAGTGTACGGGGAAGAATGTCCTATGTGCCCTTCATTTCCCCCTACCCCTTAGGGCCGGGCCACCAGATACAGATATTGTTGTGTCTTCACTGCTGGCACCTTCTGGAGCAGGGAAAAGAAGGAATGTACAGTTTGCTACTTTTCTTCTGTGGTGGGCTTCTTAGGCACTGCCTTGGATGCAGGAGACCGAAATAGGAAGAGGGGGGCTCTCTTCTCCTTGGCCTCTCTGGATCCCATTGCTGGAGGCACGTTCCCAGCCACAGTTCCCGGGCCAAACAGCACTGGTGGCGCCAGGCCTAAAGTGGTACTGGAGGTGGAGCTGGAACTCCGGGGCTTGGTGGGCAGGTCACTTGACAGGAAAGCTGTGTACTGGTTCCAGAAAGACAGGGGACCTACCCTCACCAGTTGGACAGGAATGTCCTGGGATAGGAAGTCCTGCAGGTTGACCTGGTCACCAGAGAGGAGTGGCACTGGGCCCTCCAGAGACAGCTGCCGGCCCCTTCGGGCTGGGCTGCAATTCCAAATGTGGGTGCTCAGGTGCACCTGCCAAAGGGAAAGGGAGAGGAAGAAAGGAGAGGGGAGAAGGGTCACCCCAGGGAAGCTGGAGAGGGTTCCCCTTGGGAAGGTGAAAGCTGTAGAGAATCTATTTTCCTCAGGTACAGTGAGTGAAGAGGGAAGAAAAATTCATCAGGGGGTCATCCCCCTGTGAGCACAACTATTTCCAAGCTCGGGGACTAGAGAGAAGCCACTAGGGAAGTATCACAGAAGGACTCAGAGAAAAAGACAAATAAGGGCTCATACATCTTAGAAGTCCTTCTACAGAGCTCTCGGTTTCTGCTCCCTGGGTCAAGGGGCAGCAGGTACAGAAAAATAGGCTCATGGGATCGTGGGGTCATCTTTTCGGGGAAAGGGGGAGAGCCCCGGGGAAGTGATGGAAGGTGAGCAGCCTGGGACCAAGGAAAGAGCAGCAATATTCTGAGGGCCGTGGGGGGCAAAGGGTTGTACCTGGTGGTGAGCCAGCAGCATATGCTTCTTGAGGATAGCCCGCTCGAGAAAGCTCTGCCTGCAGAAAACACAAGTGAAGAGCGGCCCCTCCTTGGGGTGGGTCTTCTGATGCTCCTCCACGGCTGCCTGCGTGGCAAAGGTCTGACCACACACCTCGCAGGCCTTTCTGCTACTGCTCTCGCCCGGCTCCTTTCTCATGGCCTCCTGCATGCTCAGCTCCACCGAGGCGATGCCGCTGCCTTCCCCTTCCCGGCTGAGTGCCGCCGTTGGGCTCGAGCTCCTCTCCGCTCTGGCCCCCTCTTCCATGCCTCCGGCGACATCACCGCCTCCCTGCTCCATGGGCTGTGTTTGATCCAGGCTGTCGGGTGGTGGTGGAGGCGGCGGCAGCAGGGAAGGCTGTTGAATCACTTTCTCATTGCTTTCCATCTCCTTCCCCGTGGTGGCTGCTGCTGCCGCCGCCGTCGCGGTCCCCACTTCCTCCTCTGCCCCTGAGGCCTCTTCTGAGTCACCTCGCACGGATATTGCCTTCTCGCCTCCACTCTCTGAGCCTCTCCCTGCCAGGGAATCTTCATCAGTCACATCTTCCTCCTCTTCCTCGTCCTCCTCCTCCTCTTCAGACAACTCCTCTTCCGGGGACGGCTGCTGGGACGGCTGCTGGGGGAAGCTCCCCGGCCCCGAGACCGTGGGTTGCTCAGCGCCATTTTCCTGGGCAGCTCCCCCGCCTTCAGAGAGCGTGGTACCACCATTGGGGATCTGGCCCCCCAGGTGCATCCGAACGTGCTGCTGCAGAGTAACAGCGTTGGTGAACTTCTTCTGGCAGATGGGGCAGGAGTTCTGGGCCCGGGCGGCTGGGCTGGCCTTGTGGCCCACGAAATGTGCACGCAGGTTGCCCCGGGTGGAGAAAGCTCTGCCACACACTTTGCATTTGAAGGGCCGCTCACCTCCATGTTGGCCATAATGCAGGCGCAGTGCGCGAGGACAGCTCAGCACCCGGAGGCAGATGACGCACTGGTTAGGTCCCGACGAGGCGGGGGACGAGGTTGCAGGCGCCGAGGTGGTGGGGGCTCCCGAGGCAGTAGAGGCCACTGCCACAGCTCCTTGCCGATCAATCTTTTCTACCAGTTGCTGCAGCTTTGAGGTCTCGGAGGGTGAGGCCCCCAAGGGCTCCAGCACATAGGGGAAGGGGAAGCTACCTGTGGACTTAAAGTGGTTGGTAAGCAGTGCCCAGCTGGGAAGCGAAGTCACCAGCTTACTCAGCTGCATTCGGGTTGCTGTGCCACTTTCTCCCACCCCGGTGATGGCTGAGCCCTCACTCCCCGGAGGGGTATTTTCATCAGCTTTACTCTTTGGCTCTACTGCTTTCATGAGCACAAACTTATTGAAAGCAGGCAGCGCAGGAGCCGTGGCTGTGCCTGCACCGGTGGAGAGCAGCGTCAGGCTCTCCGTGGCACTAAGTGCTGTGGTGGAGGCCACCAGAGGCTTGCGTTCCACACCTCCACCGGGCATGGCCACCTCCTCCTCGGCCTTCTCTGGCGGCACGGACATACCGTAGGGCAGGCCGCTGCTGGTGATGACGTAGTCTAGGTGCTCGGGCACCGGGTGAGGGTTCATCTGCACGTGTGGGTACTTCTCGCGATGCCGGTGAAAATGCACTTTGAGGTTGCCGCGGGTGGTAAAGCGGTTGCCACAGACATTACACTTATAGGGCCTCTCACCTGTGTGGGAACGCAGATGGATCTGCAGGGCACTGTCACTGCCAAATACTTTGGCACAGAAGCGGCACTTGTGCCGTCCACCGGGCTTCTCCAAGGGACCCATCACTTCCCCGTAGCCCAGCTCACCACTTCCATTCTTTGGCTTCAGGAGCCCTGGGGAGGCAGTAGCCTCAAGGCCTCGAGCTGCCCCAAGACACTGTGCTGCCAATAGTCCCGTGGTGCCTGGGAATGCCAGATGAGGGGAGGCCATCAGCTGATCTGTGCTGCCAGGCAGGGCTGGGGAGGGGGCAGGGGTTGGTTTGTGGCTTCGCCCAACCCCTCCGGCAGAAAAAGGGTGCTGTGACCCCAGCGGATGGTAAAGATGAAAGAAAGCCTGCTTGGGCGTTTCTGCCCCCGAGGAGGATGAAGAAGAGGAGGAAGGTGCCAGCGTCTTGCTGGTTTGGACGGGCTTGATGGGGCTGAAGAGGGGAAGCAGGGGCTTGGTGGAGGACGCAGTCCCCGTCCCAGGTAACTCTGAGGGACTGGCAGGGGTGCCCACTGTCTGGCCTAAGGAGCCAAGCAGCAGCACCTGGCGGCAGATTTGCTCAGTCATCTGCATCTGGTGGATCTGGCGCTGCTGCAGCACCCGGAGCTCTTCCAAGATCAGAGGGATGTTCAAGTGGCCGCTGCCTACCCCTGGGGGCGGAGGTGGAGGAGGAGGAGGGGGGGGTGCAGGGGCAGATTCTGGAGGTAATGGGGTTGCGCCCAGCTTGGGACTCGCCAAGATCAGGCCCCCGCCTCCCCCAGCTGCTGTACCTGTGGCAGCGACCAGGAAGTGCCCCGCAGACTCCTCTACTCTCCGCTCTGGGCCCCAGGAGGGATCTGTGGGCACTGAAGACCCAGAATCCGGAGGGTTGCTGTGCTCTGCCTCCATGACCTGGGTACTATTTTGGCCCTCCGCCCGGGATTCAGAAGAGGTCGAAGAGTTGTTGGGGTTCTCCTGGCCCCCAATTATCACCATTACAGGGGGGTCAGTAGAACATGCATTCTGGTGGGCGAGGAATTCAGTTGGGTCAGTGAATTGTGCGCAGCACTTGGCACAGACTTGGGGGTGGTCCTCCTCGCTAGCATCACCTAGGGAGAAGACAAGGAGAGAGCGTGGGTGGTGCGGTTGGGATGGGCATGCGAAGGCTCTAATTAACAGCGAGCCCAGTAACCGCTTGTGGGGGGCGGGGAGATGAGCTCACCATCAGGCCACGCAGAAGGCTAGAGCTCAGTCTTGACCGGCCCGGACGCGAAACACCCCAGGGTTGGGGGGTGGGGAGGGGCAGGCACGCTCAAGCTTCTGCCTTCCCTAGTCCGTCCCCCACCCCCCCCCAACCCCGGGCCACCGCGGGCGCAAGGAACGGGCGTGAGGAGGGGGTCCTAGGCAGAGAATCGTGCATTTCATCCCGTCCGCCGAAAGTCCCTTACCGCGCGCGCGTCCCCTCCGCCCCCACCCCTGCCGGGGCAGGGCCCTACCGCACCTCCAAGCTCCGCCGGCTCCCCGCAGGGCCCCCCGAGACGAGAGCTCCTCCCGGTTTCGTGCGCCATGGCTGTGGGGGAGGTGGAGGGCCGGGTAGAGTGGGAGACAATAGGTAGCGGGATTGGGGGAGGCGGCGGTGGCCGCCGGGGCTGCGGCAGCCTCTGCGCCCAGCGGCCCAGACTGCGGAGATGGAGATCGGCGGCGGCGGGGGCGGGGGCTGGGAGCCGCGGAGGAGGGGGAGGGGAGCGGGGAGGCGCGGAGGAGGGGAGGAGCTGGAGCGAGAAAGCTGGGAGAGGGGAGATGGGGGAGGAGCTGCTCGGGAGCCGGGCGGGAGCAAGGAGTGGGAGGTGGGTGTGTGGGGCCGGAGCCCAGAGCCTAGCAGGTTTCCGGAGGCTCAGTGACAGGTGCTTGTGGGGCGTGGTGGGGGTCCACCTTCCCTTGCACTCTACCAGCTCCCCCCTTCTCCAGATGTCTTTGCCCAGACCTGCCCCCACCCCCCTCAGGCTCAAGGGGGCACAGTGGGAAACACAGCCCTGCTCAATAGAGCAAAGCGAGAGGCTTCTCTTATTTTTCTTTGGATAAAAGATCCACTGAGCCTGGAAAACGTGGACTCCAGAGAGGGTGGTCTGATCTCAGAGGTCTGAGGGAGCCCAGAACATCCATCCCTCATCAAAACACGCTCCCCCAAATACCCCAAGTTTTATCCAGTCTTCCTCACCTTTATTCCCACCCTACCCCCATGCCTCTCCGCAAAAGACGTTTCTCAGGGTGGGAGGCTGCAAGGTAGAATTTCCAAGGAAGGCACTTCAGGACCCCTCTCTGCGGAACACTGAGCCCCTTTACTCCCCGCCCCTCCTCCCGCAGAATAGCCGAATGCAAGTTACCCCCCAGATCACCCGGCCCACACCTGATTTATGGAGCTCGTGCTTATTCAAGGAGCCATCTCCTCTTTAGTGCTGTCTTCCCTGCCCGTCTTCTTCCTCCATTGCCCTTCTCTTGCAACAACACTGCACGCTGTCACTATTAAGGACTGTGGAGGTTGGGGAGATGCCGGCCTGCAGGGGCCTAGAGGCCCACCTAGCTCTAACCTGGGGGGAGGGGAATTCCTGAAACAATGGGGAAAAAAATGCAGTGGGAGCTACCAGACAGCCTCTCAGTGCCAAAAGCCCTTTCAGCCCCAATCTGGTTTGAATGCCTAGAAATGACTTAACGCCAGCTCACTGCCACAGAGGCCACCTCCCCTCAGAGAAGATAAGTAGGGGTGAGATGTCTCTTAGACCAGATACTCTGCAGTCCCTTTCTACCTTGAAATGTGTCTTCATAGGTTTTCCACTTCCTGAAGGAGTTTATCTTACTTACAGGAATTGACCCGCAGTCACTTAGTTTTGTGGTTCGCTTGGGCATCAGTAAACGCAGGTTGTGCTAATCCCAGTTCTGTCCTTGACTGACAGTGGTCAATCATGCAACCATTTTCCTTTTTGTAAAGTGGTAATATTGTAGGTATGTTATCTTTCTCAGAGAAATACTGTGGTGACAAAAACTTGAAAAACTCTTGACAAATCATGTTAATATGAACATATGGGACTTTAAATATTATGGATTAGAGAATTGACATTGTCAATGGCAAAACAGTCAAAATAACCTAAGATATACATATACTAAAATTAGATCAGCGTTTCATGTTGCTTATTGACCTTATTAATTTCTGAGGTAAGACATTGTTTAACATCATTGGCATATGCCAACATTAAGGAGTCTTTTTTGGATGGAGATAAAACTACCTAATATTGGCAACATCCATTCACTGTTGAACGCAAATTTTGCCATCTTTTTTTTCTCTTAAAGATTTTATTTATTTTCTGACAGAGAGAGAGAAATGAGAGAGGGAACACAAGCAGGGGGAGTGGGAGAGGGAGAAGCAGACTTCCCACGCAGAGCAGGGAGCCCGATGCGGGGCTCAAGCCCAGGACCCCGGGATCATGACCTGAGCTGAAGGCAGATGCTTAACGACTGAGCCACCCAGGCGTCCCTTGCCATCTTTTTAAAATGAGAACATTTTACTGAATTATGTTTAGAAACTTCAAATAATCATGAGGATCGTAATGTTATAAAGGATGGCTCTGAAACAGATGAGCTCCGTGCTTTCAGGCCTGACCCTTACAGTGAGGGAGAGGGGAATCTATTTCAATTATGGAAGGTCACGGGTTAGTGTGGTATTGTTTATTTTTACACATATGGAAATTGAAGCTTGGAGAGATGAAGTGACTTTTCCAAGTTCACACTGTAATTCAGTGAGGCAAACATTCGGAATTTCGACTCCTGTCCAGTTCTTTCTCAAGCACATCAACCTTGTAAGGCTTCTCTAATGCTAGAGAAAGAGCCCTGTGTAGCTCCCACCTGCCATTTGCTCTCTGGCCTCAGCAAGGGAGAGGGAATGAGATGGAGGCTTTCTACTGAGCATTTGTTAATTAGCATTGAACATTTGATATCAAGTTGCTGTTTTGTCAACTCTTCCGACAAGAAAAGAAATCCTTTTCTTTTCATCTTCTCCTGGGAAACACTGTCCCCTTTCTTGCTCTTTAATGAAACTTGCTTTCTGATGCGTAATTCGATCTGCACTCTTCTTTAAGGTAAATTTAGTCCCTGCTGAAAGGTGACGGATCAACAGCCACCTGTAAGAGGAACCCTCTCTTTCTCAGCACTTTGCACTCACTGCCTCTCCTGAAAAGGGGGGCAGGATTCTTAGGCAGACAGGAATGAAGTCATAAACACAGGAATAAACTAAGCTGGTAACGGTGTCCCTAGATAGCAGATAAGGTGAGGTAAGCTATCCTGGGTCACACACAAAGTCTGGGATGGACGTGGAGACTAAGACCTGGACATGCTTGTTTAAATTTATAAAGAGCCGAAATGACAAGGAGAAAGGAAACCAGGTAGCTCTCTAAACTGCTGCTCTAGGCTTGGGAGGGCATGGCTAGGGAGAACAAAGAGAAAAATAGGTGGGGAGTGCACAGCAGGATAGTAGTTGAACAAGTGGTTCTCAAATTTTGCTGCCCATCAAAATTACTGGCAGGACTCGATCCCAGGACCCCAAGATCATGACCTGAGATGAAGGCCGACTGAGCCACCCCGGCATCCCACTGGGCTCCCTGCTCAGCGGGGAGTCTGCTTCTCCCTCTCCCACTCGCCCTGCTTGTGTTCCCTCTCACTGTCTCTCTCCCTGTCGAGTAAATAAATAAAATCTTAAAAAAAAAAATTACTGGCAGAGCCTTTAAAAATCCCGATAGCCAGGCCACACCCTAGATTAATGAATTTAGAATCCCTGAGGGCGGCATCCAGGTATCAGTATGTTTATAAAATTCCTCAGGTGATCCCAATGTCCAGCCAAGGATGAGAACCACAGTAGCTTTTGGGCGGCTGCTCTTCCCAGCAAACCTTTTTTCCTGCTGCTCACGTCTTACCTGCCCTCAACCTGGCCAAAATTTAGACAGTGGCGAAACCAGCCGCTCAATGCCAGATCTTCCTGTCAGACTCCTTCTCTCCTCTGCCCGCAGCCACAGGTTAACTCTCTCGTGTCCAGCTTCCATGGACAGAATTTTTTTTTTTTTGAGAGGAGATAGAAGTTTATTGAATACACCGCAAGGGAGCAGCAGGCAGGACAGCAAAGGACAGACTGTCCGCCAGAATTTGATATGATTTAGACCTGATTGTGAATTTAAGCGACTGTATTGCTTTTCCCAGAACACGTTCATCTTGAGCCATATTTCTAATTTTAAGTTAAAGGTTGGTTCCACGCAGAGTTCAAGCATCGTCCAGCTATTAAAGAAACAAAGCATACTATGTAAGCACCTGCTTAAACTTACTATTAGTGTTGGTCCAACACTAATAGTTTCCATAATTATGAATCGATTCTGTAACTGCTGCTGTTGCTATAGACTACTTCTAAGGGGGAATGTCCCATGTTCTCTGCATCACTCCTCTCTCCTAAATACATACACATACCCACTCCTTTGCTACCCACACCTAGTAATGCACCCATGGCCTATGCAACACCGTAGGCAAACAGGCATGCTGAGGTATGTTTACATGGGGTGCTAAGTGAGAAAAATATATTTGTTTCCAGAACAGGAATATCTTAGATCGAACACCGAAAAAGTTTTTAAAGAGACATTTTTCTGACATTGAAGGACTCAGCATTTAGCCAGGAATTCATACACTTTTGCTGCTGGAAGGGACTGAGATCTGACCCTCTGAGCAAAGTGATTAAGATTGACAGCTCTGAAGCAAACAGGCCCGAGTTCTCGTCCCAGCACTATCTAATCTTTGTGATCTTGGGAAAGTTTCTCTATTTCTCTAAGGCTTGGATTTGTCTTTAAAATGGGGGTATAAGGGGCGCCTGGGTGGCTCAGTTGGTTAAGCGACTGCCTTCGGCTCAGATCATGATCCTGGAGTCCCGGGATAGAGTCCCACATCGGGCTCCCTCCTCAGCGGGGAGTCTGCTTCTCCCTCTGACCCTCTTCCCTCTCGTGCTCTCTCTCAAATAAATAAATAAAATCTTTAAAAAATAATAAAATGGGGGTATAGCTTCAAAAGGGAATGAAATTCTTAG